GGAGCAGCGGCAGCCCCCCGGGGCAGAGGGAGCGGCAGGGCAGGGCCCCCGCTCCCAGCCGGGCCCGCGGGGGCTCCTTCCCGGGCAGAGCTCGGTAGCCGGCCGGAGCTTCGCGCGCAGAGCCCGAGGCGCCGGCTCTGCCCAGCAAGCGCTGCCTGGGCTGCTGCTCCCCTCTCGCCGGCAACTCTCCTTCGGTCTGCCCTGGTGCTCTTTAGGTCATTTGACGTGAACCTGCGCGCCGTGCTCCAAGTGTCCCAGGTGAGGACGGGCCGCGGGCCTGCAGCCGGGGAGCACGTTCTGTTGGGCACGGGAGATAGGAGCTACGCCAGGGGCTGCTGCATCCCCGCGGGCATCCGTGGGACACGGTGCTGCTAATCCCGCTGCCCCTTGGGCTCAGGTCCTGGGCTGGGGCAATCTGGGGCCACACTCGATCCCAGCCAGGCCCAGGTGCCTCACCCGCTCTCGTGCTCCGCATTGCAGATCGTGGCCCGGCAGCTGATCGCGCGGGGGGCGCCTGGAGCCATTGTGAACGTCTCCAGCCAGGCCTCCCAGCGGGCGCTGCAGGGCCACACCGTCTACTGTGAGCATCGCGCCGCTGGGGCCCCTCCCGAGGCTGGGGGAGGGGAGCACGTGGGTCCCCCTGGCCAGGCGCGGGGGCCGGTCACCCTCACAGCCCCGGCTGCTGCGACCGGTTGCAGGCTCTACGAAGAGTGCCCTGGACATGCTGACCAAGATGATGGCGCTGGAGCTGGGGCCGCACAAGGTAGAGGCTCCTCAGGCAGGGGGTGGGGAGCAAGGGCAGCCCCTGGGGCCGCACCGTCACGCTGCGCCCTGTGCTCGGCCCCAGATCCGCGTCAACGCCGTGAACCCCACCGTGGTGATGACTGACATGGGCCGCATCAACTGGTCGGAGCCCCAGAAGGCTGGTGCCATGCTCGGCCGCATCCCGCTGGGGAGGTTTGCAGGTGGGTGGGGAGGGGGCTCCTGTCCCGCTCAGCAGCACCCCCCGCTTCCTCCTGGTTAGCTTGTCCGCCCCTGTTGCCCACCTCCGGCCCCGGGCTCGCAGCCCCAGCACCACGCGGGGGAGAGCCAAGTGCTGGTCTACCCCAGAGGTCCCAAAGCCCTGGGAGCAGCTCACCTGGGAGAGCAAGGCTGCACGGAGCCCCCTCCCCTGAAGCTCTCCCCAAGGGCGGTGTGAGACTGGGCAGCACTCTCCGTCTCTTCACCTGCGTGAGCCAGCGCTAGGAGGCAACAGCAAGCCACGTCCTTGGCCTGTGTCTGCCCAGGGGCCACCCAGTGCCAGGGGGCTGGAGCCCCAGGCCCAGCCGGTTCACTGTCCCCTAGGAGGAGGGTGCGGCGCTCCCCACCCCAGGCCGGTCCCTGGAGCAGCCCAGGGTCTTCAGGCCCCCCCCTGCTCCAGCCGGCGCCTCCTCCCTCCAGAGGTCGCCCAGGAG